TTAGGGTTTAGGGTTTAGGGTTTAGGGTTTTGGGTTTTTGGTTATAGGGTTTAGGGTTGAGTCAAGATCCTCCAAAGCCATGCTGTTTCAGGGAGGGTACTGCCTAAATTGTTGCATGCTGTCTCGTGTGTAAGGTGGGCCCCGTGAGGATGCAAGCGTTCATGCAGAGATTTCGGTTTAGGGTTGAGAGTTTGGGTTCGCTGTTTGGGGTTTAGGGTTTAGGGTTTTGGGCTGAAGGTGTTCTGGGTTTAGGGTACAGGTTTTGGGGCCTCCTACACCCAGGCACGTGGCATGAGACTGCAGCCACTGGGAGATGTCACCAGGCCCTAAACGCAAGAACATTCCCTTGATGAGGGCTTAGGGCTTCTGAATTGGGATGTTCCCCCTTATACTACCAGTCCGTAATAGGGATTATGGTACCCCCCTGGAATAATCCCGATTAAGGACTGTTAGGAAAAGGGGGAACATCCCAATCTCTGAACCGAAAACCCCCCCAAGGATCTGGAGTGCAGCCTGACTGCGGCGCTGCCACAAGCGAAGTGCCGAACGTGAAGAGCGCGCCGACCAGGCCTCGGCATTTCGGGGAGGGGTGCGGAGGGCGGGTGGGGTGGGGAGGGGGGGTGGGGTGGGAGGGGGGTGGGTGGGAGGGGTGGGGGGTGGGGAGGGGGTGGGGGGTGGGGGGGAGGGGGGGTTTCAGGGTTTAGGGTTTAGGGTTCAGGGTTCAGGGTTCCGGGTTCGGGGTTCAGGGTTTGGCCTTGAATTTTGGAGCTTTGTTTTTTGGTGCTTGTGGTTGAAGGTGTGCCAAGCTCTCGCCAGCATCTGAGTCAGGGCAACCTAAGTCTAACTCGGAAAGCACAGGCTCTGATGAAGCGAATACGGGTTCAGGGTTAAGGGTAGGATTCAGGGGGACCTGGATACTAGGGGGTTGAGGCCTCGTAAGTTTCAGGCTGGGCATAAGGAGGCCCGTGGGTCATGGTTGCAATGTACGCCAAGATGTCTGTAGGACAAGGGGCACGACCTGCAAAAGTTGTCGGGCGTTGTAAACCGAGACCGGCGCCCCTAGGCGGGCAGCTTGGTAGCTAGATAGCTAGACAGGCAAACCAAAAGGTGGAGAGCACAAAAGCCCCGCGGTATCAGAAGCTGCGGTACAACAAGAGTATCCTTCGCAAGGAAGATACGACCAACAACTGCCGATTGTGCAGGTAGCTTCTGGAGCCAGGCCTACAGCGCAATGGTCGTCAGGTATGTGTGGCGTCAGCCGCTTGCAAGCGAAGTGGAAAACGCATTGGGCCAGCTTCTGTGCACCGCCGAAACCATAGCCACCACAGCTCCATGAACAAAGAAACCCTGATAAACCCTCAACCCCAAACCCTAAGCACAAAAAAGCTAGAGCCCAGGCCCTCACTTGGAGGTTCACGGGTAGTTATAAGTAGGGTGATAGGTATGGTAAGTATACTTACAACCCCATGCAGGGTACTTCGAACCCTACTTGTAACAACACAAAGGAAATTCAAAAAAAAACAAGCCACAGCCTTGGGTTGAGGCTTGAGGACCAAAGTGCCGCAAGGGTTTGGGGTTTAGGGTTTAGGGTTTAGGGTTTACGGTTTAGGGTTTAGGGCCAGGGTTTAGGGTTTAGGGTATAGCGTTAAGGGGGTTTGGTTGGGTTAAGCAGACCCCAGAGCCCCCTAAATCCCCCCCAAAACCCTAAACCCTAAACCCTCAACCCTAAACCCTAAACCCTAAACCCTAAACCTTAAACCCTAAACCCTCAACCCTCAACCCTAAACCCTAAACCTCGGCTTCCGGGTGGGAAGCGGGTGGGAGAGAGGGCAGGGGTTGGGGGAGACCACCTTATCAGTGGGTAGGTGGCCTTTAGGGCTTTAGGGGTTTGGGGTTTAGGGGTTTAGGGGTCTAGGGGTTTAGGGGTTTAGGGGTTTAGGGTTTAGGGTTTTAGGGGTTTAGGGTTTAGGGTTTAGGGTTTAGGGTTCAGGGTTCAGGGTTCAGGGTTCAGGGTTCAGGGTTCAGGGTTCAGGGTTTAGGCCCAAGCAGGCCGGGTGGGAACCCCCCCGCAAATCCCTAAAACCTGAGCTCCGAACCCCCAAAACCCTAAAACCCGAACCCTAAACTCCCAAAACCCCTAAACCCTAAACCCCAAAACCCCAAAACCCCTAAACCCCTAAACCCCTAAACCCTAAACCCCTAAACCCCTAAACCCCTAAACCCGAAACCCCAAAAACCCCCCAAACCCCGAAACCCTCAAAATCACGCGAGAGAATCTGAGCGCCCCTCGGCCGAGGGCGGCGCCCAACCCGGCGCCAAGCGCGGTGCCCAGGGCTGTCAAGGCCAGAGCGCTCAGCACCCCCCGCAAGGCGCGCCACCTAAGGAGGTTTAGGGTTTAGGGTAATGGACCATATGAACTACCCTGAGAAAGACAAACCTGGACACCCTAGGCCCGCGGCACTGCCGTCCACATGTCGTGTGGAGCTTGCATGGCGACGTAAACGAACACAGGGTGCCCAACAAAAGCAGGGCTTTTGGGATGTAAGGCTGACGTCCTAGGCTTTTTAAGTCTCGTTGGAGTGTAGGGCTTAGAAAGCTCTGAACAGCCTTCGGCCACCGGGGGGTTGCTTGAGATGCGTGGAGCTAGGGGGGCTAAACCCTAAACCCTAAACCCTAAACCCTAACCCCAAACCCTAAACCCTGAACCCTAAATGAGGCACACGCGTCGGTCATGGTACGGAGCTCTAGACCCCAAACCCTCGGAGAAGAGGGTTCGCCCGGGCGCTTCCGAACCCTGAGGGATTCGCACCTACAAAACCCTGAGCCCTAAGCCCCCCCCTGAACCCTAAACCCTAAACCCTAAACCCTGAACCCTAAACCCTAAACCCCAAGACATAAGTCTCCAAGCCTAGCATCATCGGTCTTGGATGTCTAAGCCTCTCGGCCTCGTTGTTAGCTGCTGTGAGCCAATCAAGTACGGCATATCGAGGGGTGCTGAAGCTGGCTTGAGTCATCTTGAGATACATACAGATAGGCATAGACAGATCGAGAGAGAGAGAACAAATAATGAAGGAGATGGTCTCTGAATTTCTGATCTGTTTGTACACATTGCCATCGTGCTGCCGATTTTTACTTATTCTTGTATTTGTTGACAACTGACTGTACAGACAGATACATATTTTGGTCTATAACTCATGGAAAAATATACCATTACACATACATACATACATACATACATACATACATACATACATACATACATACATACATACATACATACATACATACATACATACATACATACATACATTACATACATTACATACATTACATACATTACATACATTACATACATTACATACATTACATACATTACATACATTACATACATTACATACATTACATACATTACATACATAACATACATAACATACATACATACATACATACATACATACATACATACATACATACATACATACATACATACATACATACATACATACATACATACATACATACACACATACATATATATATATATATGTACTATGTCAATATGTAAGTATGCAAATGAGTTTGTTAATATTATGCACGGATATAGCCATTTTAACATGTAAATCTGCAGCTCTACTTCTTGGTATACTTACAGGCATGTGCATTTCTATGCGCATGTACATGTATGTCTGTTCGTATCACATCTGCAAGTCGCGTGGATATGTAGACAGAAACACCCTAAACCCGCAACCCTAAACCCAACAACCACTCCTAAACAGCACGAAAAGTTTGGTTGAACCCCTAACCAATGCTACCCGACGTCCACACTCTATGCTCTCTGAATTCCTTCTCACCCCCCTGGTCAATCCTAAGCTACTCGTAGATCGTCCTCGTAAGTCTCTTTCTCAATCCCTGCTTTGCTAGTCCTTCTAACCACTTCCTTTCGGACTTTGTAACTCCCCTCTAAGCCTTTCTTCATCCCTTCTGATGCTGTCAAACCTCTTCTACCTTCTTTCCACGTAACCCGAAACAAACCCTAAGCCCTAAACCCTAAATCAGTCCCCAGAAAGCCCGCTACACCACAATGAAGGAATCTAGCAGGGTACAGGGTGTAGGGTTCAGGGGAATCCGAACCCCAGACCCCATTCCGTGCCCATGGAGTATCGGGGACTCCCTATGTGCGCCCTGGAAAGATATGGACCATCCCTTTGAGTATGAATGAGTATGAAATAGCTATATAAGGTTCAGGGTTCCGGCTTACGGTTTGAAAGAGGCCCAAGAAGAATGTTTGAGCAGCTTAGAGCACAAGTTGGGTTCAGAACAATGTGGAGAGAATACTGAGACCCTCAACCCTAAACCCTAAAGCCTAAACCCCAACAATGGCTGTTTAAGTACGGCTTCACACCGAACCTAGGAGCCGAACAAGGACATTCGTGGCTTCGGGTTTCCTGGAAAACGGGTGTCGCGCGTTCTTCAGAAAGTTAGAAAAGCACAGAACTTGGTTAACTCCCTAAACCCTAAACCCTAAACCCTAAACCCTAAACCCTACATCCTGGAACCTAAATGACTAAAGACCTGTATAGGGCCAGGAAACTGGACTGTTTTGCACGGGCACCGCAAAAGCGTGTGCACTATGGAACCTATTGAAATTCAAACCCTCACCTTCAGGGGCCCTTAGGGAAATCCCAAAACCTCAGACCTCCATAAAACCCTCAGCCTGAGCCCAAAAACCTGAACCTTCTTCTGACAACATCTCCACTCCTCCCTCGACTCGTCACCAAGCCCTTAACCTACCCAGAGAACCTCAACACCCCTGAGTTACGGAACATACGCGAAAATATGTAGGGACCTTGAGTAGGATGTAAGGTGTATTCCTTTAACTAAGCGGTATTGGGCTCATGGGGTAAAGCCCCTAAACCCTAAACCCTAAACCCTAAACCCTAAACCCGAAACCCTGAAACCCTGAATCCTAAGCCCTAAACCCTACAAGCCCTGTACCTCGCCTTGGCGGGGTCGGCCGAGGTGGTCTCGACGCCGTACCTTTTCTTATCAGGGTACTTCAGGGAGGGTTTAGGGTTTAGAGTTTAGGGTTTCGGGTTTAGAGTTTAGGGTTTAGGGTCTAGGGTCTAGGGTTTAGGGTTTAGGGTTTAGGGGTTTCAAGGGGGATTTTAATTTAATACCTAATGCTACTCTCTTGGGCTCCCCTAGCTTCCCTACGTGCCTACCTCCCATGAACCCACCCACCCTTCAGGACCCTGCAATCGTTCCGCCCTTTGTTTCGTGTCCCTGGTTGCCAGGTTCCGGATCTGCTGACCAAAGGAACGTAGCGGAAATTCTAGACCCTAAACCCTAGACCCCAAGCCCTAAACCCTCTAAACCCTCTAAACCCTCCAAACCCTCTAAACCCTCTAAACCCTCTAAACCCTCCAAACCCTCCAAACCCTCTAAACCCTCTAAACCCTCTAAACCCTCTAAACCCTCTAAACCCTCTAAACCCTCTAAACCCTCTAAACCCTCCAAACCCTCTAAACCCTCTACACCCTAAACCCTAGACCTCAAGAAATTCAACCTACAGAGCCGCTCGATCATCCTTCGTTCGCCCCCGAAAAAGGTCGTGGTTCCCATTTGGGATTCCTGGGGCTCAAGGGATATCACGGGGTTCAAGGGCTATGTCGGGGTTTAGTGTTTAGGGTTTAGGAGTTTCGGGTCAAGACTGGAGGATTTAGTCCCTCCCCCCCAACATTAATTCACATACACAAAAAACATAGAACCACAATCCGAGTATTTCATATTAAAGGGTAGGCAGGGGCGGTGGGGGGGGGTGAGGGTCATGTTTGGGATCTAGGGTTTGGGGCTGAGGGCTTGGGGTTTAGGGTTGAGGGTTCAACCCTAAACCCTAAACCCCTCATGTGCTCACCCGCACTCTTTTTCTCGTGCGCTTCGTTAACTCGAAGTCCGTGATGATCTCCGCCACGCGCTCAAGGCTGTGCTCAGGCTGAAGGCGATCCAGGTACCTCAGACGTTTAGGGTTTGGGGTCTAGGGTTTCGGGTTTAGGGTTTCGTGTTTCGGGTTTAGGGCTTAGGGTTTAGGGCTTGGGGTTTGGGGTTTAGGGTTTAACCTTAAGCCCTCGTGCCCTGAGCCGCCCTAGTGGGCCCTACACCTAAGCAACCTTGAACCCCACAACCCAATCCCTTAAACCTGCGTCAGCTGCCTTGTTCCCAAAGGTTTTGCGCTTGGCTTTTGTGATTCAGCGAGGTGCACTGATGAGCTTGTCAGACTGCAGCATGTGTTATGCGGTGCGCAGCTGTGTCTGGAACTTGATAGCATGTCCCCAGGTGAGGGTAGTTTGGGAATAGACCTGAATTCATATTGTGGTCCCCTCTGTGGCCGGCCCTCTCCCGCAGAGAACGCCGCAAAGCACACCTCCAATCCCACAGAGAATATCCAGATGCCCTAAACCCTAAACCCTAAACCGTAAACCCTAAACCCTAACCCTAAACCAATCCGCTGCAAAGGAATATTCCAGGGTGCTTCAGGTTCATCGGGGGGGGGGGGGGGGGTACAGAGGGAACCTTTAAGCATACGGCTGAGCAGTATGAGGGAACGAAACCCTAAACCCTAAACCCTAAACTACCCTAAACCCTCCCTGAAGGACCCCTTCAGAATGAGGGCCCACCCAGGCCATTTAGGGAGAATTAAGGTTATTTAGCCTAGGGGGGGGGGGGGGGGGGGCGGTAGAAAAGAGGGGGGAACCCATGACTTCTGTCAAGTATATACCTTTTAGGGTTTAGGGTTTAGGGTTTAAGCTTTAGGCTTTAGGCTTTAATGGGGAACCCAGAACAAAAAAACATTACATGAGCTCCAAGACCCAGAGTTTAGGGTTTAGGGTTTAGGGTTTAGGGTTTAGGGTTTAGGGTTTAGGGTTTAGGGTTTAGGGTTTAGGGTTTAGGGTTTAGGGTTTAGGGTTTAGGGTTTAGGGTTTAGGGTTTAGGGTTCAGCATCTCAAGTCCGAGCATTCACTAGTCGAGCAGCTTGTCAAGGGCTGGAATAAAACCCCACCCACCCAAGAAACCCATAACATTGAGAAAATACAAAGTCCACTCAATACATTCCCAGTAGGCTTAAAGCTCAAGGTCCAATTGGCCGAAAACCCAAAATCTAATTCTCAAACCGGGGAGGGTGGGGTGGGGGGGGTGCATTTGGGGTGGTTTTGGAGGCAAACTTTCCCTAGGGGGAAAAAAACCATTTGCCCACGAAGGGGGGTTTAGGGCCCCCCCGGGTGGAAAAAAACCATTTGGTCACGAAGGGGGTCAGGGTTTAGGGCCCCCCCGGGTGGAAAAAAACCATTTGGTCACGAAGGGGGTCAGGGTTTAGGGCCCCCCCGGGTGGAAAAAAAACCATTTGGTCACGAAGGGGGTCAGGGTTTAGGGCCCAAAGGCTCGGTTTTGATCAAAAATCCAGAAAACGAGAGCCCACCCAGAAGCGTCGATTTCAGTACTAAAAAATAGCATTTTGAACTGGGGCCCGGGCCGATCCTGGGGTCCCCCTCATTTGGGGTGTTTTTGGAGGCACGGCCCAGGAAAAAAACCATTTGGTCACGAAGGGGGTCAGGGTTTAGGGCCCAGAAAAAAAAAAACAACATGGTCACGAAGGTCATTAGGGTTTAAATATACATAGTAAGAGAGGGTTTAGGGTTTAGGGCCAGAGAATTCTGTCAGGCCGCATGATCTCCGAGACAAGGGCCTCGAGCAGAAACAAGAAAAACGTGGCCGTTTGCTCGCTCAGGGGCACCTCAGCTGGCGCGGCGGCCGTTGAAGTCGAGGGTTTCCGGGGCTTAGGGGGTTTTCACCCTAAAACCCTAAAACCCTCAAACCCTAAAACCCCAAAACCCTAAAACCCTAAAACCCTAAAACCCAAAAACCCAAAAACCCTAAAACCCAAAAACCCTAAAACCCTGAAACCCTGAAACCTGAATCCTAAAAAGCCCTCACCCTAAACCCAACAACCTAAACCCTAAGCCCCTCTCCTCCTCCCAGCCACGGCACCTTGTTCTTGCCGATTCGCCGCTTGAGGTGCGAGGGCGTGTAAAGCCCCCGGTGTCCCTGCCTCGAGCTGCAGTTCTAGGGGTATACGGAAGCCTTAGGCAGCCCCGGGCTTAGGGTTTAGGGTTTAGGGTTTAGGGTTTACGGCTTAGGGCTCAGGGTTTAGGGTTTAGGGTTCAGGGTTCAGGGTTTATAGTGTTGGGGTGTCGGGTTTCAGGTTAAACCCGAAAGTTCTAAATAGACCCCTGGTCACCTTAGAAGCGACTGAGTCGCATGGCTGCCACAACCAGACTCTGGACGACGCTGTGGGCAGGGGCGCACTGGCCTCATTTTTGGCCCCTCTGGGCCCAGGGTCCAGGGTTTAGGGTTTAGGGTTTAGGGTTTAGGAGGGTTTCGTATTCAGGGCTCAGGGGAAGTATTCCGAAGAAAAGTTGCACTAAGCGCCAAAACGGACAAGCTCAAATATCCCAAAAAGTCTACCTAGTGACGGACAACATCAGCAAAGTACACGGCCGGGGCGTCATCCATTGTCAAGGGGTAGCTGCACAGCATTGTGCCGGAACATTGCATGTCCACCAAGCGCTGGTCAAGCTCCTGGGTGCTTCCACCCTATGCCCGAGGTTTAGGGTTTAGGGTTTAGGGTTTAGGGTTCAGGGTTCAGGGTTCAGGGTTCAGGGTTCAGGGTTTAGGGCTTGGCCACAAAACCCCCGGAGTCCCCCAAGCCCCCAAACCCAAACACCCTCAAACCCCAAGCCTACGTCCCTCCTTCCCCAAATCCTCCGAAACCCTGAGCCCCAAACCCTAAATCCTGAACCCACAGAACCCTAAACCCCAAACCCCAAACCCCAAACCCCAAACCCTAAACCCTAAACCCCAAACCCTAAACCCTGCTTTGCTCCTCCTGGACAACACCGTGGCCGCAGTCGATGTTCACCCCCAAGGCGGCGACGTACTTCTCAGGGATGTCAAGGGGCAGCACTGCCTCGTGGGGCTTAGGGTTTCGGGTTTAGGGTTTAGGGTTTGGGGTTTGGGGTTTGGGGTTTGGGGTTTGGGGTTTGGGGTTTGGGGTTTGGGGTTTGGGGTTTGGGGTTTGGGGTTTGGGGTTTGGGGGTTGGGGTTGGGGTTTGGGGTTTGGGGTTTGGGGTTTGGGGTTTGGGGTTTGGGGTTTGGGGTTTGGGGTTTGGGGTTTGGGGGGGGGTTTCGGGTTTAGGGTTTAGGGTATAGGGTTTAGGGTGAGGTTTCGGGGATTGGGGAAACTTACATAGGGTTTAAGTGTTCAAGGCTGAACTCGCTGGTTCTGAGTAGGGAATGAGGGAATGAGGTACCCTATCATCCCTTAAAGGGTATATACAGGGCACCTCCTTCCCTCATCCCTGAACCCTAAACCCTAAACCCTAAACCCTAAACCCTAAACCCTAAACCCTAAACCCTAAACCCCAAACCCCAAACCCTACCCGAAAACCAGGCAGCTGAAGGGGGGTTAGGGCTTCAGGGTTTCTCGGCTCAGGGACTTCCAGAGTTCAGGGCCAAGCCCCGGCCTCCCTAAACCCTAAGCCCTAAGCCCTAAGCCCTAAGCCCTAAACCCTAAGCCCTAAACCCTAAACCCTAAAAAAAAAAACAAACCCTAAACCCTAAACCCTGAATCCGAAGCTAAACTCTAAACCCTAAACCCGAAGCCCTCAAACCTAAACCCTGAACCCTGACATGTCGCACCTTCAAGTGCGACATGTCTTCGACAGGTGTCGCCAGGCAAGACTCGGCCCCAGTGAGTAGGACCTCACTTTCTCCCAAACTGTCCCTCCCCATGTTTAGGTTCTCAGGCTACGGTTTGGGGTTTTGGGTTTAGGGTTTAGGGTTTAGGGTTTCGGCGGTTTAGGGTTTAGGTTTTCGGGACCCGAAGCCCTAAACCCCCCACAGGCTCCTTTGGGGTTTACGCCCCATGGAAGCAATGAAGGTGCGCCCGCAATCTTCCTAAACCCTACACCCTACACCCTACA